CAGCTAGGTAACTCAAATCCTCTTTTCTCTCCCTCTTCAATTACAGCCTGAAAACAAGATTCTGATTTTCTTCTATCAGAGAACAGAAATGATTTTGTGGTAGGTCAGCATGTCCTTAGAGGCTGATCACAACTTACTCCGCCTTAAGAGATGACACTAATCATTTTTTAAGTGTGTTGATGTTCAAGATGATGAGGATCCATCTGGTATGTGGCATTTGGAATAATCAGCTGCAAGGAAGAGGGGTTACACTCAGCCAGGAGTTGAATTTTTTTAACCTACATATATTCAAATTATGTTTATTCACACTCTCCAGTGCATTCTCTTTCTCTCCTCATAACACCAACCCACAAATCAATAATAGTTGCTTCTGTCACAGCAGTGATTGGACCAGTGTGTCACATGGGAACAGGCTAGTTGTGCAGCCCTATCCATATGCTTATTTTAATGTGAAGCACAAGTCTGTGTCATGATCAACTACATGGTGCTTTGCAACTACTTAGTGTTTTGCAAGTATTTTTTTTTTATAATTTTCTTAGTTTTTTTTTTTTATATTATTATTAGAGAGGTGATATTGGTTTACAACACTACACATGATTTTGGGGCATAGATTCTCAGCTTCTCAGATGTATGTTAAAACACCACTCTCCCCACCAAAGCACCCCATCTCTCTACCATAGGCCAGGGTTCCTCCCTCCTTTGTTTCTAAACTCCCTCTGCAGCTAGGAACACAATTCTTGCAAATAATTTCTTAAAGTGTTTCCACTTCGCCATTATTTTCTCATACAGGAAAGTAAACTCCAAGTTTTTCATTTTCACCTCCTTTCATTCAGTTACACAATCAGAAGTTATCAAGAAAGAGTTGGAGTTGCAGAGAGCAGGTGAAATGTCTTACCCTGCTGTCTCTCCTTCCTATAATGTTTTCCAGACCTCGGAGAACATGCAAAGTCTGTGGATCTGACCAATGTCCCAAAGAAGACAAAAGGTTAGTGATTTAACAGACCCGTGTGTCCTATACATCCTCACAAATCAATCCTTAGGAATAGTTTGTTTAGTAAAATTCCTGCCATCACTTAAGTCATGAGATGTAATGAACAGTTTGCATTCTCCACGTTTGTGTTGTTCTTTAAAGTTCTGTTTTTTTCTTTTTAAATGTATTTATTTATGCATACAGAACTGGGGTACAGGCCAGAGATGCAGGGGCAGTGAGAGGATTCACCAGAGACAGAGTGGGGAGCAGAACAGGCAGGCTGACGAAGTACACTGCTGAGGGGAGCAGCGGGCGGGTCAGGAGAGGTCTGCTTTGCCATGTGGTCATCTCTGGGGCAGGCAGGAATCAAACTCATGCTGAAATGGCTTTAGCTTCTCAAGGCTGTGCTTCAACCCACTGCACCACCAGGGAGGGCCCTACATTCTCTGCTTTTTAAGGAAAAGTAAACTTTATGTTGCTTCCATGGATATCAATATTTTATCTTTTAGCAACATGAAAGTTTTAAACACTATATTCTCCTGAACTATCATCTCCTTTGCTCAACATAAGACACACCCAGATTTATATTCGTCTGTGGTTTTCAGAACATCGTGTACATTTTGGCATACTTCTTTCTTCCTCCATTCCTATCAATCTATCCCAGTGGGGATGGGAGAGGAAAGTCAATTCAAACTTTATTCCTCAGTGTACTTATACTAATCGGGCAGTTTTAAAGAGTATCTTCAATACGTTGGCCTTGAGAACCAAAGCAAATGAGTAATGATACCACCAATTACACCATCATTTAGCATCACAGCAACTCAAAAGAGCCCAAAGTGAAGAAAAAGATGAGGCTGACAATAGAAATTGCACTATTTGGGCAAGTTGCAAGAGTGTTACATCACCTGAAGGAAATTAAACACCAAATCTCCCTCTGGCTCTCCCGTCTTAGGGACTGAAAACCTAAGAATTACTTTTTCCTCCAAATGTGAATATCTTTAATGCCTCCCCATATCAAAGCCAATCTAACACACATTTTTACTGAACTCCTGTATCACTAAAACCTTACTTTCCTATACCTTGTATGACAAAGTAGGATAAGTTTATGGTTGTCAACTTTTCAGCTCTATCTTCAATTCCTGTCTTTACTATTTACTTGACTCCTAAATTCAGCTTCCTTGATGGGCGTTTACTGAACACTCATTTCCTGGGACCGCAATGATGAAGACATGCTTAAAACCTAGCAGCAAAGATTGGCAAAGAAGATTTCAAAGGACAGAACATAGACAGTGGGATTTGACTGGTCTTCCAAGCCATAAAATAATTTTAAATGTACAGAAAGAATGATGAGGAACTATTGAAAAATGTTCATGAAAAAGTGATTTGATAAAACGGGGGTTTTGAAAATTTACTCTGGCTAGTAGTTTGCAGTTTGATGGGATGAAAGGCTTTGAGCTCTAGAGAGACCAGTTAGGAAATTGCAGAGTAGTGACCACACACCATCGGGCCCTAGAGTGGTCACTGTGGCCTAAACTATGGTGGGAGCCACAAGAAAAACCTGAATTGGTTCAAGAAACATCTAGAAATTGTAATAAAATGTGGGAATCAATAGGATATATGACAGACAGAAGAGTCAAGGGTGACTCAAAAGTGTGAGAATTTTGAGAACTGGATGGATAGCAGGGTCCTGATTAAGACAGGGAATAAAGAGCATGAAATAAAGTGAGATAGGGTGGAGCTCAGAATGGCAGGCTCTATGTTAGAGGAACTGAATTGGGTTTGCTGGTCAGATACCCTCCGACTCTTGAGATACAGGATGGGAATGCCGAAGAAAGGTCTGGTTTGAAAGTAAAGATTCAGGAATTGTTAGATTATGGATTTTAGTTGCAGGCACAAGGATGTTCATGTACGAATGGAATAAGAGATGTGAGTCACCATTATTTTCCTTTTTTTAATTGCATGACAGGCTTACAGGCTTACTTTCTCATTTCAGAAAGCAACTGTTCATATAAAATATCACACAATTGCTTTAATTTTCCAAGTACTGTTTATTTCAGTAGATAAAATCACTCCATACATATTAATGATGAACAGAATTCAACCATACATATTGATTGGATCATTATCTGGATGCTAAACACTACAACAGCAAGTAATATAGTAGCATCTATATTTCCTACCATGTGAAATTTTCCAAGAAGGAAAAAAAAAAAAAGGTACCTATTACACAGCTTCAGCAAAGTAACTGCTGCCTAAAAGCCAAAAAGCTGCTTTTGGATGGTTATGTCAAGTTCAATGGAATACTGAATACTCGTTATATGTTATAAATATACATTACTACTTTTTAGCTCTTTATCAGTCTTCCAGCTAGTCTAACTCCTGTTGTCATTCATTTTCAGTATTCCAAAAGTCAGTGAACTTCAAGACCAGTCTTTTATTTCAAAGATGGCAGTTATTCAACAGGATTCACAGTATAAACATAAACATACCCATAAAATGAAAGTTTATAAAGTTAATGTTTATAATTACATGTGATACTATCACTGAATGTATTTAAATTTTAAGGAATGCATTAAAAATCCAGTCACTTTCAAATAAACAATTGCCAGAAAACCTCTTTACCAGCTTCCAAAGCCACACAGTGATTTCAACATCTCCATTGCTTTTCATGAACTTTGTGGGTTTTTAAGCATCTTTGGTTGGGTACTGTTTAAATAAAAATTACATTACAAAATCACTAAATGAAAAAATATGACAGCATCTATATCCCACTATAGGTAAAATTTTACCATGTATATATTTATAAGTTATCAAAAAATATAGCTAATTATTTTGAGAGAAGAGTAATTATGTTGAAATTGCTCCAAATAGAACATTTGCAATGTGGAAAAAAAATCCAGTGTTTTTAATCTTCCTTACAGATGGGTTTCATTTTCATGAAATTATATTGTTGTATTAATTATGAATAGGTCCATGCAAGATGAATTTCAAAAAAATAAAACTATGATGTTCTGTGACCACATTTCAGTTAGTTATCTGTGCAAAACATTCTTACAAATAAACACAACATGTTAAAAATGCCACAAAAATATTTTCTAATAGATTCAATTTTTAGTGAAGACTGAGCTCCAAGCTGGGAATAATAAATGTTCAAAAAGTTATAACAATTATTGATGCTTCCAAGTATTGAGTTCTATGCTTGTTCTTTAAATACTATCTACATAAAGCATCACAACTTAAAATGAGAAGGTAAATAATGAATTGTATTTCTGAGAATTTCGAGTTTCAATTCTGAGTTGCAGAAACTTTTCACCAAACATGCATTTGGTTTTAAGAACAATGGCTTTAAAAGTGGACTAATTGAGTACTATGGATTTTCCCCATCATTTGCCAACATACTAGTCACACAGGAAATTTCGGTTTATTTCCTTGACATCATTCAAGTAGTCGATAACACTTACCTGCAGTTTCCCTGATGGGTTTAGTCTCAAGAAGGAATAAACAACTAGGATACATTAAACAAGAGTCCAAGAGTCCGCTGTAGCTTCTTAGGAAAACTGATGTTTGGTGTTTTTTACCAGAGGTGGGAGGGGCAGGAAGTGGGGAGAGAGAAAGGAAATGCACAACATCCCTCATCCTCAATCTGCTTTCTGACTTGATTTGAAAGTCACCTTACCTCCCCATGCCCCACCCCGCCCCCACACACATCTCTTTTAGCAATGCTGATCAAGCCAATTCTTTGTCCACGTTTCCCTGATTCTGGGAAATAGTCAAAGGCATCTCTCTCCGCTTGTATTCTTAACTGAACCCACCATCCAAGCAACTGTAAGTAATTTGCTTTGTTGCCATATTTTTGTCTATGAATATTTTTACCTAGGCTCTGCCAACCAGTTTTCCACGAATGACACCGCAGATGCTGCTATTCAGATGCTCTTTTTCTTTCTGTAAATGGGAAATCAGGATGCACCGGCAAGCTTCTCAGCCTGAAGTCTCACTCTGGGCAGAGCCATCCAGAAGATCTGCTCAGGCACTTCCTCAGACGTTGGCAACCTCTGTGAAGGAGTCATTGGGGCCGTTGTTTTTTTTGACCTCCAGGTTCTTTTTAGCCTTGAACGTCACGGACACCTCGGAGTGGATGGCATCCAGTCTCTGCTCGCAGCGGAAGGCTGACAGGAAGGCCTTTCTGTAGTTGCTGTTCATCCAGCCATAGAGAAGGGGGTTGACAAAGGTGGAACACATGGCGATAATGTGGAACACAGTGAAGATGAGTTTGTACTCCTTCAGGTCCAGCACTTGGCTGTCAATGTCAACGGCAAGCTGGAAGGCATGGAGAGGCAGCCAGCTGACCGCGAACACCACCACCACACACACCAGCATTTTGGTGGTTTTCTGCCTGCGCTGATGGTAGTGGTCACTAGTAGCCACGGGGCTGATGTGGTTCTTAAGTTTACTCCAGATACGGGCGTAGGAAAAAGATATGATGCCCAGAGGCAAAACATAGAGGATTAATAAGGATGAAAGACTGTAGACAGTGCCATAGATGCTCTTCTCCTCCCCGGGCCATTTCTCAGTACAGGCCACGATCTCAAAGTCAGGAATAATCTCAATCAGTGAATGCTCCCGGAAGATGGCCAGGGGGCTGGCCAGCAGGGCACTGATGCCCCAGGCCAAGCCAATAATCAAGAAGCTGATTCGCTTAGAGATCTTGCTGTCCAGGTGGTAGACGATACAGCGATGCCGATCCAGGGCGATCACTGTCAAGGTGATGGTAGACACCTGGACAGCCAGTCCCTGGGCATAGGGTACGAGGTGGCACAGGACCGGGCCCATCTTCCACTCCCCCATTAAGGTGTAGGTAAGAGTAAAGGGCAAGCACAGGGTATTCACCAGGAGATCTGCCACAGCCAGATTGGCAATGAAAAAGTTTGTTACTGTGCGCATGCTCTTGAATTTGATTACCACGTGGATCACCAAGGAGTTCCCAATTACCCCCAGCAAGATGATGGAGCAATAGGCCAATATGAGAACCACCTGTACCTCGATCAGCTTGGTGCTGTCTATGAGCTCAGGTTCCGGGCCGTGGGCCAGCTCTCCTCTAGGTGTGGTTTGCCCTGAACCATACAGTTCTACCTTCGTTTCTTCTACTGTCTGATTCTCATCGGCTTCTGCACCTATTGGACCCATTTTCAGCAATTAGCTTATGAATCTATAATTTAAAAAGTAAATAAGTATGAGACAAGGAACTCACAGGGGTGGATAAAGAAATATCACAAATGAGCTGGCTGCATTTTGGTTGGGGTTCAAACGACTCATTCTCTGAGTCTTAAATTTCATATAGTATGACATTTTAATCAAGCAGGCCGTTTAATGTCTAGTCACAAATATGGAGGAGTCGAATAGGCCCTGGCAATGTAAATCACAATGGTAGAATGTAATGTCCTTTATTATAGATGTAATTCTAATGTGAAGGCTATTACGTTGTTCAGTCTAGTATATGACGGATATCAGAAACTTTATCAATTTTATAGCTGTTATAAATTCATCAAATTAATTTTAAGGACGATAAATTTCCCTCGATAGCTTGAACCTTTCAAATTTATAATTATAACAAATGTGACATAAAAGTGACAAAACTTAAAATCCTTTGCCTGGTATCTGTAATTTGGGAGTATAAAATATCCAAAAGAAAAGGAACAGATTCAGTTTTACAGCTATCTTTTCTAGCATAAGAATTAATGTTAAAAAAAAAAAAAAGGATCCTGCATGAAACAGCTACTTTCCTGGATGATCTGAAATAAGATTCCTAGCTAAAATTCAGCAGTATCTTACAGAGTTGATGTATGAAAATGTTCATATCTGACCTGATCGACATCTCTTCCTTACCCCAAAATATAAAAGTTTGAATTCTTTAATTTTCAAAAGTCCTCTCCAGACTTTTCCTACTGTGCGTGTGTCATTCCATTCAAGACTGTCCCCACGGCTAAGCCACCTCAAGTTAAAAATAAACCAGGTGCTCTTCCATCTCCACATTTAAGAGGAGTCAGAGGGGTCTCTGACAGAACTACACCACAATCTTCTTCTGATCATTTCTATATTAGCTTTGTTCTCCTCAGAGTCTTACCATAACTACTCTAAGAGTCTCAAAGCTTCCTGGTGCGTGCACCGTTCACGTCACTGACGTCACTGTGCAGCTCCTAAATGCAGGCAGGGATGCACCGCCATCATGCTGACACTTAGACACGACTTCAGCAAGCATTTAAAAACCTATTTACTCAAGGGCTCTTGTATTTCACCGACCAGAGTTGATTGTTAAAATGGTCTTTCTGAAATTCAAATGTGCTCATATCATTTCCCCAATGTCCAGATTTCTTAAAACAATATAACATATTGGCTGCAGATATGAAGTTCCCATCTCGAGTCGATAAAAATGTCGAGAGCCATTATCACAGAAATCATTCCTCTTGACCATACCTCATCCTGAAAAAAGGCTGCTGCTATTAACTCAGAACCTTCCTTAAATGAGCTTGTGTCTAACTCATCATGCTGGCATCTACCTACATGGGCAGGTGAGTCACATTTGTTCACACAGTCAAAGCCTGAGGGAGCTGCAATTCCCAGTCCCCATTGCTCCGTTCTGTCTGCACCACAGGAAGCTGACTTGGCAGACTGCGTGTGCCAGTTCCCAGGTCACCGATTCTGGCCAGGTCTGACCTTGGAAGTTTCAGGCAGGTAATTAGAGGGCCAGGAGGTGGGAGAAGCAGTTGTGTTCTGTCCCTACCTCTCTGCCCTGGACAGAAACTCAGCAGCCCTATGTGATAGGTTCTCGAAAGATTGACCTGCAGTCTCTGTTTCCAGAGGAGTGTGTAGGTCCTTGGCGGGAGGAGGGCTTCCGAGGACCAATTGCTCCTCCCAGCGTCCCTCAAGCTGGAGGTAGTAATGACTCCCAGTTTCTTGTTAATCCCTGGTGGCCTTAACAGCCCCTACGTGCTTCCATCACTGTTAAGGGACTTTCTGCCTTTAGTTTCTTCTCTTTGACTAGCTTGCATAGGTGGTTTTGCATGATCTGCTGACAGCATGCATAGTGCGGTTATCAATTTTCTCTCCCCCGAAGGTTCCGCACACCAGGCTGGGAGCACCGACACCCCAGTGGATGAGAATCCGCGCTGCTCCCGACGCACCCCGCCGGCTCTGTTCATCACTCCCGCATCTCCCTATGGGTCCTAGGCCCTGGTCAGACTAAATGCTCCAATTTGGAGCACATGAGGCTTTCTCACAGCGCTCTGCTCTGAACTGGGAGTCTCTCGGCCTCCCCAGCAGTCTGCGCTTGCCGTCACTGCCACAAGAGGCATGTGCTGTTCGGACTGACTGTTCTACACACACCCTACTGAGCTATCTCTTTGAGGACAGTCAAACTCCCCATCCCTGGCTTAAGCCTTAGCCCACCACCCAGCACAACATTTCTTCAACAAGACAAATATGAAGCTAAAGGAAAATACAATTTACTGAATAATTAAGCTTAGCAATACCCAAAGTAATAGTTTTTCTTTTTTTCTTTTTGTTTTTGAAGACAATTGCCTATCCAGGATTTCTTACTTAGGTAGGATATTCTTAGGTATTTGTTAATCAGGTAACCAGTTGAACAGACTTGTCCCAAGATTCCAAGATTCCTTTAAAACCAATCTCTATTTAGAACAGTAAAATTCTCAGTATCCACCATAAGAAAACCTTCTCTTTCAAGGGCTTCTCTCTCTGTCATTCTCACCCTTCCCCACACACACACACTCTTGCTCTCTCTCTCTCTCTCTCTCTCTCACACACACACACACACACACACACACACACACACATGCACATACGCACACACATAGAATCCATACTACAGATGGAAAGATTTCCACAGACTTGTGTATCTGCTGCACTGATATATTCTAGTTCCCGCTGCATAAATTTCATATCAAAGACTCCAAGGAGCCAGGCCCTCTTCTGCCTCCATTCTTCAATCATTTGAGAAAAAGGAAAGTCGCCACTTAAATCTTGGAATGTATATTTGGTGGGTCCAACCATTTCCCTTAGACTAAGATAAGACACTGATCTGATAATCTCTTAGACAATCTGACCAGTCATTAATAGAATTTAATAAGACTCCCAGAGGTCTGAGTTAGAGGTTTGCAGCAAACTAAATTGAGAGTATGTCTGAGACAGAAGCATATTGGAGTCTATTCAATTTATTAACTTAGTTTGCTTTTTCTTTTCAGTTCCATGTTCTTTATTTCAAAGCCCCTTTTCTCTGCAGGGCCCTCTCTGCAGGAACATTTATTGATCTCCATGCTGTTAGTATGTGGACAAATAGCTGTTCTCAAAAACAGGGCTGGCCTCCAGGCAGGACAGAATATTACCCAGAGAATGCAACACTTTATGATTGCACTTCTGGAAAAATGGGTGGGGGGGGGAGAGGAAAGCACACATAGAGGAGGTGCGATTCAACACTCAAAAATTAAAAGATAGGATGACAAGGGAAAACTCTTGGAATAAGTCAAAGGGGGCATTCACATTGTACAAGACACTTAAGGAGAACAGAACAAGTGATTTTTAGAGTCTGTTATAGAAATATTTCTTTGTAGAGTAGGAAAGTGGCTTCAGGGTTTATTTTTTCAGAGTCAAAGAATTTCAGATTATCTGAGTGGAAACCATCTTAAGCCCCAACTGCATATTTAAATGTGTGTGGCTTTTTGGAATGATGCCCTTATTGTCACAGGTTAGCCTTAGTGAAACTTAACATGGTATCAATTACAAAACCTTCCAGAAATTAAAAATAAAATCTCCAAATCTCTCACTCCCCTTTCCCTCACTTGTCAAGGGGGAGTTGTGGAGGGTTTGGGGTGGGGGGTTGTTCCAGGAATGCTGTATACAAGACTTACCTGCTTACCTAGTAAGCAGAAAGGTGAAAAGATTTACCCAAGGGCTTGGGACTTTCCCTCTCCCTGGATTTAGCTCTGGCCTTTCTTTGAAACAGCATCATCTATCTCATATCAATGACTTGAAATGTTGTGTCCCTACAGCCAAAAGTTTTAGAACTTTGCCTTTTGCTTCCTTCTTTTCCCCATATGCTCCTACCAGTGGGTGATGCCTTCTGGTGGAAAACCAGGGAATGCTTAGATGAGTGTCTGTTATTGAACAATTCTGATAATCCAATATGACTATCTGCTTTAGATGGGGTTTTGATTTTTAAAGAGGAATCAGAACAGTAATATAATCGTGCAATAAAAACTTGCTGTTCTGGAAAAATCATGGCCTCTATCTGAGAACGGTCAAGAAAATAGTCCAGATTTTCAGGAGAAAAAGGAAAATTCTGGTGAAAGTAAATGGGAGTGTCACCCCAACCCCAAGCCCCACCTTTGGCCTAAATGAGGGGGAAAATGAGGGCGCTCTCTCTTCACACACCCGGAGCACTTCTCTGGGGCTTGTTCTCCCTCCCAGAGGGTGAATCAGAGTTAGGATTTTCACTTACTGACCCGGTCCTCACGTTTGTGCTGAGATGTAGAAGCAGTCCTTGAGTCCGAGGAGTATCTGGCCGTCTGATCCGGAGAGGGCACTGGAAAGTCTCCCAGGTAGGTCCACTCGGCCAGATCAGGGCAACCAGCCCTCAGAGCGCCGAGAGCAGCCGAGCACCGCAATCCGGTCCCAGCCGCTGGGAGGCAGGAGCGGAGAGGCTCTGCACCCACCTGCGGTCAGGCGCTCTCGGGGGAGGGGCGTCCGGGGAGGAAGGGGGGGGGCTGCACCCGTGCGGAGATGCAGGGGTGAGCCGGTGAGGTTGGGAGGTTCCCAGGGAACGGGGTGCACCGGGAGCTGCGAGGCGCACCTCTCTTTCCAAGAGAAGAAAAAGGGGCAGAGGATAGGGGGGCTGTGGCCCCCCAGCGGGGAGGGCTAGAAGAGAAGTTTCCGTGGCCAAGGACCAGGAGACAATGAGCACGGGTTCTCGGTCCCGAGGGCTTTGAAACGCCTTGGGGTCCCCACTACCATCGGCTACTACAGCCCAGTCCGGGAAGCCCTTAAGTTGGCTACTCTGCACGGGTTCCACCTCTCTCTCCACGACCCCTTTGCCCCCGGCTCCGGAGGTTCAGGAGAGGTGGCCCGGAGAGACAGTGCCCCGGACTCCCCACCAGTGTCTCCGAGGCACGCGCGAGCC